CACCACCTCCCCAGCACCCCCGCTGGCTCTTGGCTCCCGCTCTGGCTCCCGCTCTGGCTCCCGCTCTGGCTCCCGCTCTGGCTCCCGCTCTGGCTCCTGCTCCGCCTACGCCCCATTCACACCATACTCTAGCCACCACCAGTGATTGACCCCGGGGGATCTGAGATCATCTCAGCTGCAATCGATCTCATAGCTGCAAGTGTCACTGCCGGGGTCAATGCGCCAAACAAATAAATAATTTTAATGTATTTATCGTGTCTTTGGTCTCTTCAGATTGAATATATAGATGTGACACATAACACCAACACCACTTTAGCTGATTTAGAACCACAGACACATGTTCAGTATAAGACCAGATACTTTTGCATTTGATTGAAGACAGACACTCACCAGGCAGAGGCTTATCTCCTGGTGTAACGCTAGCTGGTGTGGAGTGAAGTCGGCCTTTACTATCTACTTTCTGGACCAAAGACAATCATTTCAGTTTTGTCTGTGTTTAGTTGAAGGAAGTTGTTTTGCATCCACTCACTGATCTGTTGGATACAGTGAAGGAGTGAGTCCACTGGTCCATGTTCTCCTGCAGTCAGTGAGACATAGATCTGAGTGTCGTCTGCATAGTTGTGATAGGACACTTTGTTTCTGCGTATTAACTGACCTAACGGCAGCATGTAGAGATTGAACAGAAGAGGTCCCAGGATCGACCCCTGTGGTCCTCCACAGGTCAGGGCCATATGATCTGAGACACAGTTTCCAATCTCCACAAAGTACTTCCTGTCTTCAAGGTAAGACCTAAACCAATTTAGGGCGGTGCCAGCGACGCCAACCCAGTCCTCTAGTCTCTGTAAGAGGATCTCATGGTCGACAGTGTTGAAAGCGGCACAATAATCACAGTTTTAGTCATGCTGGATGCATGACTAAAACTGTGATTTTTCCTTTGTCGGTGTTAAGTCGGATGTCGTTTGTAACCTTCACTAGAGCAGTCTCAGTGCTGATTGGCTCTAAAGAAGGACTGGAGCGCATCAAAAGAGCTAATAGTTACTCAGAATTCTGTAAGTTGTTGGTAAGCACTTTTTCAAGATTTTTTCCCATGAACGGCAGATTTGACACAGTTTGACACTATTGACACCGTTTCTTGATTGCCACTTTTAAACTGCCACTTTTTGTTGTACATAATATATCCTACATTTAACATGGTTGCACTTTTCATTCTTTTGCACAATCTCGAGTGTTTCTATCCATGCCAGATGTGACATGTGCATTTCTGTTGCGTGAGATCAATAAAGTCTATCTTATCTTGTCTTAACTTGTCCGGCCCAAATTTTTGGCCCTCTGATGTATTTCACTTTGACATGCCTGGCCTATAATGATAACCAATGAGATGCCTTGATGAAAAGTGGGACTGGAACAAGGTTAAAGTGGGCGAGATGCGATAACATGGCTCTGTTGGAATGCTACTACTCGAGTAGCCCTGGCCAAAGAGGTTACATGCAGAGAATGCTACTACTCGAGTATCCCTGGCCAAAGAGGTTACATGCAGAGAATGCTACTACTCGAGTAACCCTGGCCAAAGAGGTTACATGCAGAGAATGCTACTACTCGAGTATCCCTGGCCAAAGAGGTTCATGCAGAGAATGCTACTACTCGAGTATCCCTGGCCAAAGAGGTTACATGCAGAGAATGCTACTACTCGAGTATCCCTGGCCAAAGAGGTTACATGCAGAGAATGCTACTACTCGAGTATCCCTGGCCAAAGAGGTTACATGCAGAGAATGCTACTACTCGAGTAACCCTGGCCAAAGAGGTTACATGCAGAGAATGCTACTACTCGAGTATCCCTGGCCAAAGAGGTTCCATGCAGAGAATGCTACTACTCGAGTATCCCTGGCCAAAGAGGTTCCATGCAGAGAATGCTACTACTCGAGTAACCCTGGCCAAAGAGGTTCCATGCAGAGAATGCTACTACTCGAGTATCCCTGGCCAAAGAGGTTACATGCAGAGAATGCTACTACTCGAGTATATCCCTGGCCAAAGAGGTTACATGCAGAGAATGCTACTACTCGAGTATCCCTGGCCAAAGAGGTTACATGCAGAGAATGCTACTACTCGAGTATCCCTGGCCAAAGAGGTTACATGCAGAGAATGCTACTACTCGAGTAACCCTGGCCAAAGAGGTTACATGCAGAGAATGCTACTACTCGAGTATCCCTGGCCAAAGAGGTTACATGCAGAGAATGCTACTACTCGAGTATCCCTGGCCAAAGAGGTTACATGCAGAGAATGTTACTACTCGAGTATCCCTGGCCAAAGAGGTTACATGCAGAGAATGCTACTACTCGAGTATCCCTGGCCAAAGAGGTTACATGCAGAGAATGTTACTACTCGAGTAACCCTGGCCAAAGAGGTTCCATGCAGAGAATGTTACTACTCGAGTAACCCTGGCCAAAGAGGTTACATGCAGAGAATGCTACTACTCGAGTAACCCTGGCCAAAGAGGTTCCATGCAGAGAATGTGGGCTGAATACTTACTTCCAAACCCACAGTGACAGTTGACTAGCATCTGAATGCTCCAACATCCACAAACGGCAACTGCTCTGAGCTCTCACAGCTGGAGATCGATGAGGTACAACACATGATGCCACAGTGGACCTTTGATTCAGTATCAGTGGACCTTTGATTCAGGCTCAGTGGACCTTTGATTCAGGCTCAGTGGACCTTTGATTCAGGCTCAGTGGACCTTTGATTCAGTATCAGTGGACCTTTGATTCAGTCTCAGTGGACCTTTGATTCAGTCTCAGTGGACCTTTGATTCAGTCTCAGTGGACCTTTGATTCAGTATCAGTGGACCTTTGATTCAGTATCAGTGGACCTTTGATTCAGCCTCAGTGGACCTTTGATTCAGTCTCAGTGGACCTTTGATTCAGTATCAGTGGACCTTTGATTCAGTATCAGTGGACCTTTGATTCAGTATCAGTGGACCTTTGATTCAGTCTCAGTGGACCTTTGATTCAGTATCAGTGGACCTTTGATTCAGTATCAGTGGACCTTTGATTCAGTCTCAGTGGACCTTTGATTCAGTATCAGTGGACCTTTGATTCAGTATCAGTGGACCTTTGATTCAGCCTCAGTGGACCTTTGATTCAGTATCAGTGGACCTTTGATTCAGTATCAGTGGACCTTTGATTCAGCCTCAGTGGACCTTTGATTCAGTATCAGTGGACCTTTGATTCAGTATCAGTGGACCTTTGATTCAGCCTCAGTGGACCTTTGATTCAGCCTCAGTGGACCTTTGATTCAGTCTCAGTGGACCTTTGATTCAGTATCAGTGGACCTTTGATTCAGTATCAGTGGACCTTTGATTCAGTATCAGTGGACCTTTGATTCAGTCTCAGTGGACCTTTGATTCAGTATCAGTGGACCTTTGATTCAGGCTCAGTGGACCTTTGATTCAGGCTCAGTGGACCTTTGATTCAGGCTCAGTGGACCTTTGATTCAGTATCAGTGGACCTTTGATTCAGCCTCAGTGGACCTTTGATTCAGTCTCAGTGGACCTTTGATTCAGTCTCAGTGGACCTTTGATTCAGTCTCAGTGGACCTTTGATTCAGTATCAGTGGACCTTTGATTCAGGCTCAGTGGACCTTTGATTCAGGCTCAGTGGACCTTTGATTCAGGCTCAGTGGACCTTTGATTCAGTATCAGTGGACCTTTGATTCAGCCTCAGTGGACCTTTGATTCAGTCTCAGTGGACCTTTGATTCAGTCTCAGTGGACCTTTGATTCAGTCTCAGTGGACCTTTGATTCAGTATCAGTGGACCTTTGATTCAGTATCAGTGGACCTTTGATTCAGCCTCAGTGGACCTTTGATTCAGTCTCAGTGGACCTTTGATTCAGTATCAGTGGACCTTTGATTCAGTATCAGTGGACCTTTGATTCAGTATCAGTGGACCTTTGATTCAGTCTCAGTGGACCTTTGATTCAGTATCAGTGGACCTTTGATTCAGTATCAGTGGACCTTTGATTCAGTCTCAGTGGACCTTTGATTCAGTATCAGTGGACCTTTGATTCAGTATCAGTGGACCTTTGATTCAGCCTCAGTGGACCTTTGATTCAGTATCAGTGGACCTTTGATTCAGTATCAGTGGACCTTTGATTCAGCCTCAGTGGACCTTTGATTCAGTATCAGTGGACCTTTGATTCAGTATCAGTGGACCTTTGATTCAGCCTCAGTGGACCTTTGATTCAGCCTCAGTGGACCTTTGATTCAGTCTCAGTGGACCTTTGATTCAGCCTCAGTGGACCTTTGATTCAGTATCAGTGGACCTTTGATTCAGTATCAGTGGACCTTTGATTCAGTATCAGTGGACCTTTGATTCAGCCTCAGTGGACCTTTGATTCAGTATCAGTGGACCTTTGATTCAGTATCAGTGGACCTTTGATTCAGGCTCAGTGGACCTTTGATTCAGTCTCAGTGGACCTTTGATTCAGTCTCAGTGGACCTTTGATTCAGGCTCAGTGGACCTTTGATTCAGTCTCAGTGGACCTTTGATTCAGTCTCAGTGGACCTTTGATTCAGTCTCAGTGGACCTTTGATTCAGGCTCAGTGGACCTTTGATTCAGTCTCAGTGGACCTTTGATTCAGTCTCAGTGGACCTTTGATTCAGTCTCAGTGGACCTTTGATTCAGGCTCAGTGGACCTTTGATTCAGGCTCAGTGGACCTTTGATTCAGTCTCAGTGGACCTTTGATTCAGGCTCAGTGGACCTTTGATTCAGTCTCAGTGGACCTTTGATTCAGGCTCAGTGGACCTTTGATTACAATTAGAACATTCTACAAAACTGACCCAGGGAATATACAGGGCTGCTTTGGCTTGGCCCTGTCGACGACGGTTGGTAAAAATAAATACAATGATTTATTTGGTCAAATTAGTTTATTCTAAAGGCGCGTTCAGACCAAAAGCTTCAAAAAGCTTTTGACGCACTTCAACTGACGCTGGGATAGTTTTGTCATTTTGGTGCTTGAAGCTTTTGACGCGAGTGACGCGCCTGACGCCGGTGGGAGGAGCTTCTCTGTTGTCTGTGGGAGGAGCTTCTCTGTTGTCTGTGGGAGGAGCTTCTCTGTTGCCTGTGGGAGGAGCTTCTCTGTTGCCTGTGGGAGGAGCTTCTCTGTTGTCTGTGGGAGGAGCTTCTCTGTTGTCTGTGGGAGGAGCTTCTCTGTTGTCTGTGGGAGGAGCTTCTCTGTTGCCTGTGGGAGGAGCTTCTCTGTTGTCTGTGGGAGGAGCTTCTCTGTTGTCTGTGGGAGGAGCTTCTCTGTTGTCTGTGGGAGGAGCTTCTCTGTTGCCTGTGGGAGGAGCTTCTCTGTTGTCTGTGGGAGGAGCTTCTCTGTTGTCTGTGGGAGGAGCTTCTCTGTTGTCTGTGGGAGGAGCTTCTCTGTTGCCTGTGGGAGGAGCTTCTCTGTTGTCTGTGGGAGGAGCTTCTCTGTTGTCTGTGGGAGGAGCTTCTCTGTTGTCTGTGGGAGGAGCTTCTCTGTTTTGTGTCTGTGGGAGGAGCTTCTCTGTTGTCTGTGGGAGGAGCTTCTCTGTTGTCTGTGGGAGGAGCTTCTCTGTTGCCTGTGGGAGGAGCTTCTCTGTTGTCTGTGGGAGGAGCTTCTCTGTTGTCTGTGGGAGGAGCTTCTCTGTTGCCTGTGGGAGGAGCTTCTCTGTTGCCTGTGGGAGGAGCTTCTCTGTTGTCTGTGGGAGGAGCTTCTCTGTTGTCTGTGGGAGGAGCTTCTCTGTTGTCTGTGGGAGGAGCTTCTCTGTTGTCTGTGGGAGGAGCTTCTCTGTTGTCTGTGGGAGGAGCTTCTCTGTTGTCTGTGGGAGGAGCTTCTCTGTTGCCTGTGGGAGGAGCTTCTCTGTTGTCTGTGGGAGGAGCTTCTCTGTTGTCTGTGGGAGGAGCTTCTCTGTTGCCTGTGGGAGGAGCTTCTCTGTTGCCTGTGGGAGGAGCTTCTCTGTTGTCTGTGGGAGGAGCTTCTCTGTTGTCTGTGGGAGGAGCTTCTCTGTTGTCTGTGGGAGGAGCTTCTCTGTTGTCTGTGGGAGGAGCTTCTCTGTTGTCTGTGGGAGGAGCTTCTCTGTTGTCTGTGGGAGGAGCTTCTCTGTTGTCTGTGGGAGGAGCTTCTCTGTTGTCTGTGGGAGGAGCTTCTCTGTTGTCTGTGGGAGGAGCTTCTCTGTTGTCTGTGGGAGGAGCTTCTCTGTTGTCTGTGGGAGGAGCTTCTCTGTTGTCTGTGGGAGGAGCTTCTCTGTTGTCTGTGGGAGGAGCTTCTCTGTTGCCTGTAGTCAGGACAGCGGTGGATTTTTCAATGAGCAGCGAGCCTTTATTTGTTATATAAAGCAGAATAACGTTGTTGTAGGGCTTCAACAAAACATGTTCTGGGTTCACCACAGACTTGAGAGGCTGCAGTGTTTGCAGAGTTCCGTCATTTACTCCAGGAGCTGCGTACGGAGGAGTTTCGCTTTCAGCGGTACTTCCGCATGTCACTTGCCCAGTCTGAGTTCTCAAACCCCGGAGCTCGCCTCTCCCTGCCTCTCCCTGCCTCTCCCTGCCTCTCGCTCGCCTCTCCCTGCCTCTCCCTGCCTCTCCCTCGCCTCTCCCTGCCTCTCCCTGCCTCTCGCTCGCCTCTCCCTGCCTCTCCCCAGCTCTCCCTGCCTCTCCCTGCCTCTCGCTCGCCTCTCCCTGCCTCTCCCTGCCTCTCCCTGCCTCTCGCTCGCCTCTCCCTGCCTCTCCCCTGCCTCTCCCTGCCTCTCCCTGCCTCTCCCCGCCTCTCCCTCGCCTCTCACTCGCCTCTCCCTGCCTCTCCCTGCCTCTCCCTGCCTCTCCCTGCCTCTCACTCGCCTCTCCCTGCCTCTCGCTCGCCTCTCCCTGCCTCTCCCTGCCTCTCCCCGCCTCTCCCTGCCTCTCCCTGCCTCTCCCTGCCTCTCCCTGCCTCTCCCCGCCTCTCCCTGCCTCTCCCTGCCTCTCCCTGCCTCTCCCTGCCTCTCCCTGGCTCTCACTCGCCTCTCCCCGGCTCTCACTCGCCTCTCCCTGCCTCTCCCCGGCTCTCCCTCGCCTCTCCCTGCCTCTCCCTGGCTCTCACTCGCCTCTCCCTGCCTCTCACTGCCTCTCCCTGCCTCTCCCTGCCTCTCCCTGCCTCTCCCTGCCTCTCCCTGCCTCTCCCTGCCTCTCACTGCCTCTCACTGCCTCTCCCTGCCTCTCCCTGCCTCTCCCTGCCTCTCCCTGCCTCTCCCTGCCTCTCCCTGCCTCTCCCCGGCTCTCACTCGCCTCTCCCTGCCTCTCACTGCCTCTCCCTGCCTCTCCCTGCCTCTCCCTGCCTCTCCCTGCCTCTCCCTGCCTCTCCCCGGCTCTCACTCGCCTCTCCCTGGCTCTCCCTGCCTCTCCCTGCCTCTCCCTGCCTCTCCCCGGCTCTCACTCGCCTCTCCCTGCCTCTCCCTGCCTCTCCCTGTCTCTCCCTGCCTCTCCCTGCCTCTCCCTGCCTCTCCCCAGCTCTCACTCGCCTCTCCCTGGCTCTCACTCGCCTCTCCCTGGCTCTCACTGCCTCTCCCTGCCTCTCCCTGCCTCTCCCTGCCTCTCGCTCGCCTCTCCCTGCCTCTCCCTGCCTCTCCCTGCCTCTCCCTGCCTCTCCCTGCCTCTCACTCGCCTCTCCCTGCCTCTCCCTGCCTCTCCCTGCCTCTCCCTGCCTCTCCCTGCCTCTCCCCGCCTCTCCCTGCCTCTCCCTGCCTCTCCCTGCCTCTCCCTGCCTCTCCCCGGCTCTCACTCGCCTCTCCCTGGCTCTCACTCGCCTCTCCCCGGCTCTCCCTGCCTCTCCCCAGCTCTCACTCGCCTCTCCCTGCCTCTCCCCGGCTCTCACTCGCCTCTCCCTGCCTCTCCCCGGCTCTCACTCGCCTCTCCCTGCCTCTCCCTGCCTCTCCCCGCCTCTCCCTGCCTCTCCCTGGCTCTCACTCGCCTCTCCCTGCCTCTCCCCGGCTCTCTCTCGCCTCTCCCTGCCTCTCCCTGCCTCTCCCTGCCTCTCCCTGCCTCTCCCTGCCTCTCCCTGGCTCTCCCTGCCTCTCCCTGCCTCTCCCTGCCTCTCCCTGCCTCTCCCTGCCTCTCCCCAGCTCTCACTCGCCTCTCCCTGCCTCTCCCTGCCTCTCCCCAGCTCTCACTCGCCTCTCCCCTCCTCTCCCTGCCTCTCCCCGCCTCCCGCCTCCCCGCCTCTCCCTGCCTCTCCCCAGCTCTCACTCGCCTCTCCCTGCCTCTCCCCGGCTCTCACTCGCCTCTCCTGCCTGCCTCTCCCTGCCTCTCCCTGCCTCTCCCCCGCCTCTCCCTGCCTCTCCCTGGCTCTCCCTGCCTCTCCCTGCCTCTCCCCGGCTCTCACTCGCCTCTCCCTGCCTCTCCCTGCCTCTCCCTGCCTCTCCCTGCCTCTCCCTGGCTCTCCCTGCCTCTCCCTGCCTCTCCCCGGCTCTCACTCGCCTCTCCCTGCCTCTCCCTGGCTCTCCCTGCCTCTCCCTGCCTCTCCCCGGCTCTCACTCGCCTCTCCCTGCCTCTCCCCGGCTCTCACTCGCCTCTCCCTGCCTCTCCCCGGCTCTCACTCGCCTCTCCCTGCCTCTCCCCGGCTCTCACTCGCCTCTCCCTGGCTCTCACTCGCCTCTCCCTGCCTCTCCCTGCCTCTCACTCGCCTCTCCCTGCCTCTCCCCAGCTCTCACTCGCCTCTCCCTGCCTCTCCCCGGCTCTCACTCGCCTCTCCCTGGCTCTCACTCGCCTCTCCCTGCCTCTCCCCGGCTCTCCCTGCCTCTCCCCAGCTCTCACTCGCCTCTCCCTGCCTCTCCCCGGCTCTCCCTGCCTCTCCCCGGCTCTCACTCGCCTCTCCCTGCCTCTCCCTGCCTCTCACTCGCCTCTCCCTGCCTCTCCCCGGCTCTCACTCGCCTCTCCCTGCCTCTCCCTGCCTCTCCCTGCCTCTCCCCGGCTCTCACTCGCCTCTCCCTGCCTCTCCCTGCCTCTCCCCTCTCCCTGCCTCTCCCTGCCTCTCCCCGCCTCTCCCTGCCTCTCCCTGCCTCTCCCTGCCTCTCCCTGCCTCTCCCCGGCTCTCACTCGCCTCTCCCTGGCTCTCACTCGCCTCTCCCTGGCTCTCACTCGCCTCTCCCTGCCTCTCCCCGGCTCTCACTCGCCTCTCCCCGGCTCTCACTCGCCTCTCCCTGCCTCTCCCCGGCTCTCCCTGCCTCTCCCCGGCTCTCACTCGCCTCTCCCTGCCTCTCCCCGGCTCTCACTCGCCTCTCCCTGCCTCTCCCTGCCTCTCCCCGCCTCTCCCTGCCTCTCCCTGCCTCTCCCTGCCTCTCCCTGCCTCTCCCTGGCTCTCACTCGCCTCTCCCTGGCTCTCACTCGCCTCTCCCTGCCTCTCCCAGCTCTCACTCGCCTCTCCCTGCCTCTCCCCGGCTCTCACTCGCCTCTCCCTGCCTCTCCCCGGCTCTCACTCGCCTCTCCCTGCCTCTCCCTGCCTCTCACTCGCCTCTCCCCGGCTCTCACTAGCTTCTCCCTGGCTCTCACTCGCCTCTCCCTGCCTCTCCCTGCCTCTCACTCGCCTCTCCCTGCCTCTCCCCAGCTCTCACTCGCCTCTCCCTGCCTCTCCCCGGCTCTCACTCGCCTCTCCCTGGCTCTCACTCGCCTCTCCCTGCCTCTCCCCGGCTCTCCCTGCCTCTCCCCAGCTCTCACTCGCCTCTCCCTGCCTCTCCCGGCTCTCACTCGCCTCTCCCTGCCTCTCCCCGGCTCTCACTCGCCTCTCCCTGCCTCTCCCCGGCTCTCACTCGCCTCTCCCTGCCTCTCACTCGCCTCTCCCTGCCTCTCGCCTCCCCAGCTCTCACTCGCCTCTCCCTGCCTCTCCCTGGCTCTCACTCGCCTCTCCCTGGCTCTCACTCGCCTCTCCCTGCCTCTCCCCAGCTCTCACTCGCCTCTCCCTGCCTCTCCCCGGCTCTCACTCGCCTCTCCCTGCCTCTCCCCGGCTCTCACTCGCCTCTCCCTGGCTCTCACTCGCCTCTCCCTGCTTCTCCCTGCCTCTCACTCGCCTCTCCCTGCCTCTCCCTGCCTCTCCCTGCCTCTCCCTGCCTCTCACTCGCCTCTCCCTGCCTCTCCCTGCCTCTCCCTGCCTCTCCCTGCCTCTCCCCGGCTCTCACTCGCCTCTCCCTGCCTCTCACTCGCCTCTCCCTGCCTCTCCCTGCCTCTCCCTGCCTCCTCCCTGCCTCTCCCGGCTCTCGCTCGCCTCTCCCTGCCTCTCCCTGCCTCTCACTCGCCTCTCCCTGCCTCTCCCTGCCTCTCACTCGCCTCTCCCTGCCTCTCCCTGCCTCTCCCTGCCTCTCCCTGCCTCTCACTCGCCTCTCCCTGCCTCTCCCTGCCTCTCCCTGCCTCTCCCTGCCTCTCGCTCGCCTCTCCCTGCCTCTCCCTGCCTCTCACTCGCCTCTCCCTGCCTCTCCCTGCCTCTCACTCGCCTCTCCCTGCCTCTCCCTGCCTCTCACTCGCCTCTCCCCAGCTCTCGCTCGCCTCTCCCCAGCTCTCGCTCGCCTCTCCCCGGCTCTCACTCGCCTCTCCCTGCCTCTCACTGCCTCTCCCTGCCTCTCACTCGCCTCTCCCTGCCTCTAGAGATAGAGCTAGAGCTAGAGATAGAGATAGAGTTAGAGATAGAGCTAGAGATAGAGTTAGAGATAGAGTTAGAGCTAGAGATAGAGATAGAGATAGAGTTAGAGATAGAGATAGAGTTAGAGATAGAGTTAGAGCTAGAGATAGAGATAGAGATAGAGATAGAGATAGAGATAGAGATAGAGTTAGAGAGAGAGTCAGAGTACCTCTGTGTGGTTAGAGTTAGAGATAGAGTTCGAGTCAGAGTACCTCTGTGTGCTTAGAGTCAGAGTCAGAGTACCTCTGTGTGGTTAGAGTTAGAGATAGAGTTAGAGTCAGAGTACCTCTGTGTGGTTAGAGTTAGAGATAGAGTTAGAGTACCTCTGTGTGGTTAGAGTCAGAGTACCACTGTGTTGTTTGAGTTAGAGATAGAGTCAGAGTCAGAGTACCTCTGTGTGATTAGAGTCAGAGTCAGAGTTAGAGTCAGAGTACCTCTGTGTGGTTAGAGTTAGAGATAGAGTCAGAGTTAGATTACCTCCGTGTGGTTAGAGTTAGAGTTAGAGATAGAGTCAGAGTTAGAGTACCTCTGTGTGGTTAGAGTTAGAGTTAGAGATAGAGTCAGAGTTAGAGTACCTCTGTGTGGTTAGAGTTAGAGATAGAGTCAGAGTTAGATTACCTCCGTGTGGTTAGAGTTAGAGTTAGAGATAGAGTCAGAGTTAGAGTACCTCTGTGTGGTTAGAGTTAGAGTTAGAGATAGAGTCAGAGTTAGAGTACCTCTGTGTGGTTAGAGTTAGAGTTAGAGATAGAGTCAGAGTTAGAGTACCTCTGTGTGGTTAGAGTTAGAGATAGAGTCAGAGTTAGAGTACCTCTGTGTGGTTAGAGTTAGAGTTAGAGATAGAGTCAGAGGTAGAGTACCTCTGTGTGGTTAGAGTTAGAGATAGAGTCAGAGTCAGAGTACCTCTGTGTGGTTAGAGTTAGAGATAGAGTCAGAGTTAGAGTTAGAGTACCTCTGTGTGGTTAGAGTTAGAGATAGAGTCAGAGGTAGAGTACCTCTGTGTGGTTAGAGTTAGAGATAGAGTCCGAGTTAGAGTACCTCTGTGTGGTTAGAGTTAGAGATAGAGTCAGAGTTAGAGTACCTCTGTGTGGTTAGAGTTAGAGTTAGAGTCAGAGTTAGAGTACCTCTGTGTGGTTAGAGTTAGAGTTAGAGTCAGAGTTAGAGTACCTCTGTGTGGTTAGAGTTAGAGTTAGAGATAGAGTCAGAGTTAGAGTTAGAGTACCTCTGTGTGGTTAGAGTTAGAGATAGAGATAGAGTCAGAGTTAGAGTTAGAGTACCTCTGTGTGGTTAGAGTTAGAGATAGAGTCAGATCCAGAGTTAGAGTACCTCTGTGTGGTTAGAGTTAGAGTTAGAAATAGAGTCAGAGTTAGAGTTAGAGTACCTCTGTGTGGTTAGAGTTAGAGATAGAGTCAGAGGTAGAGTACCTCTGTGTGGTTAGAGTTAGAGATAGAGTCAGAGTTAGAGTTAGAGTACCTCTGTGTGGTTAGAGTTAGAGATAGAGTCAGAGGTAGAGTACCTCTGTGTGGTTAGAGTTAGAGATAGAGTCAGAGTTAGAGTTAGAGTACCTCTGTGTGGTTAGAGTTAGAGTTAGAGATAGAGTCAGAGTTAGAGTTAGAGTACCTCTGTGTGGTTAGAGTTAGAGTTAGAGATAGAGTCAGAGTTAGAGTTAGAGTACCTCTGTGTGGTTAGAGTTAGAGATAGAGTCAGAGTTAGAGTTAGAGTACCTCTGTGTGGTTAGAGTTAGAGATAGAGTCAGAGTTAGAGTTAGAGTACCTCTGTGTGGTTAGAGTTAGAGATAGAGATAGAGTCAGAGTTAGAGTTAGAGTACCTCTGTGTGGTTAGAGTTAGAGATAGAGTCAGAGTTAGAGTTAGAGTACCTCTGTGTGGTTAGAGTTAGAGTTAGAGATAGAGTCAGAGTTAGAGTTAGAGTCCCTGTGTGTGGTTAGAGTTAGAGAAAGTCAGAGTCAGAGTAGAGAGTACCTCTGTGTGGTTAGAGTTAGAGATAGAGTCAGAGTTAGAGTTAGAGTACCTCTGTGTGGTTAGAGTTAGAGTTAGAGATAGAGTCAGAGTTAGAGTTAGAGTACCTCTGTGTGGTTAGAGTTGAGATCAGAGTGAGTTAGAGTTAGAGTTAGAGATAGAGTCAGAGTTAGAGTAGAGTACCTCTGTGTGGTTAGAGTTAGAGATAGAGTCAGAGTTAGAGTTAGAGTACCTCTGTGTGAGTTAGAGTTAGAGTTAGAGATAGAGTCAGAGTTAGAGTTAGAGTACCTCTGTGTGGTTAGAGTTAGAGATAGAGTCAGAGTTAGAGTTAGAGTACCTCTGTGTGGTTAGAGTTAGAGTTAGAGATAGAGTCAGAGTTAGAGTTAGAGATAGAGTCAGAGTTAGAGTTAGAGTACCTCTGTGTGGTTAGAGTTAGAGATAGAGTCAGAGTTAGAGTCAAAGTCAGAGTCAGAGTTAGAGTTAGAGTTAGAGTCAGAGTCAGAGTTAGAGTCAGAGTCAGAGTCAGAGTCAGAGTTAGAGTTAGAGATAGAGTCAGAGTTAGAGTCAGAGTTAGAGTTAGAGTCAGAGTCAGAGTCAGAGTCAGAGTCAGAGTCAGAGTCAGAGTTAGAGTCAGAGTCAGAGTCAGAGTCAGAGTCAGAGTCAGAGTCAGAGTCAGAGTCAGAGTCAGAGTCAGAGTCAGAGTTAGAGTCAGAGTCAGAGTTAGAGTCAGAGTTAGAGTACCTCTGTGTGGTTAGAGTTAGAGTTAGAGATAGAGTCAGAGTTAGAGTTAGAGATAGAGTCAGAGTCAGAGTTAGAGTACCTCTGTGTGGTTAGAGTTAGAGTTAGAGATAGAGTCAGAGTTAGAGTTAGAGTACCTCTGTGTGGTTGCGATCTCTGACAGCAGCCTCTTGATCTCCACCATGTTCTGCTGCTTGGAGCGTGCCTCGTGCTCAAAGCTGCAGAAGAAGTTGGGTTAGAGTTAGAGTTCGAGTTAGAGTTCGAGTTAGAGTTAGAGTTAGACATAAGGTTCTGCAGAGAGAGAGAGCGTACAAAGTCCTGGCCTCCACACTCTTCTTCTCGTGCTCCTTCAGCTGCTCCTCAAACAGACGGTTCTCCGCTTGGATCTGCACCTCCAGAGCCTGCAGAGCCTTCTCTTCTTTGGCCACAGCGCTGTCCATTCTGTCCATGTCCTCTCTCTTGGTCTGAATGGACAGCTGGACACATGGACACATGAACTCTGGTCTCTCTCTGGACTCTCGCTGGTCTCTCTCTCTGGTCTCTCTCTCTGGTATCTCTCTGGACTCTCGCTGGTCTCTCTCTCTGGTCTCTCTCTCTGGTATCTCTCTGGACTCTCGCTGGTCTCTCTCTCTGGTCTCTCTCTGGTCTGTCTCTGGTCTGTCTCTCTCTGGTCTCTCTCTGGTCTCTCTCTGGTCTCACTCTGGTCTCTCGCTGGTCTATCTCTGGTCTCTCTCTGGTCTGTCTCTGGTCTGTCTCTCTCTGGTCTATCTCTCTCTGGTCTATCTCTGGTCTCTCTCTGGTCTCTCTCTGGTCTCACTCTGGTCTCTCTCTGGTCTCTCTCTGGTCTCTCTCTGGTCTCTCTCTGGTCTCTCTCTGGTCTCTCTCTGGTCTCACTCTGGTCTCTCTCTGGTCTCTCTCTGGTCTCACTCTGGTCTCACTCTGGTCTCTCTCTGGTCTCTCTCTGGTCTCTCTCTGGTCTCTCTCTGGTCTCTCTCTGGTCTCTCTCTGGTCTCACTCTGGTCTCTCTCTGGTCTCTCTCTGGTCTCTCTCTGGTCTCACTCTGGTCTCTCTCTGGTCTCTCTCTGGTCTCTCTGGACTCACCTGGAGAACGGCCTTGTGTCGCTCCAAACTCATGAAGGTGTGTCTGCTGTCTGACGTCACGTTCTCTGAGAGAAACACGTGAGAGGAAGAATCACTAAGAATCATACACAAAAACCAGGACTAAGGCCAGGACTAAGGCCAGGACAGAGACCAGGACAAAGAGCAGGACAGAGACCAGGACAGAGACCAGGACAGACACCAGGACAGACAATAAGACTTAGTCTGTTTCATGGTGTGATGATGGGACCCCCTGGATATTGGATCTACAGCCTCAGTCCTGGGTCTACAGCCTCAGTCCTGAGTCTACAGCCTCAATCAGTCGTGCGATCCTTCGGTGTGGTCCTTAGACTGGGTCCTGAGTCTGGGTCTGACCCCTCTGGTCCTCAGACTGGTCCTGAGTCTGGGTCTGGCCCCTCTGGTCCTCAGACTGGTCCTGAGTCTGGGTCTGACCCCTCTGGTCCTCAGACTGGTCTTGAGTCTGGGTCTGGTCCCTCTGGTCCTCAGACTGGTCTTGAGTCTGGGTCTGACCCCTCTGGTCCTCAGACTGGTCTTGAGTCTGGGTCTGGCCCCTCTGGTCCTCAGACTGGTCCTGAGTCTGGGTCTGGTCCCTCTGGTCCTCAGACTGGTCTTGAGTCTGGGTCTGGCCCCTCTGGTCCTATGACTGGTCCTGAGTCTGGGTCTGGCCCCTCTGGTCCTCAGACTGGTCCTGAGTCTGGGTCTGACCCCTCTGGTCCTCAGACTGGTCTTGAGTCTGGGTCTGGCCCCTCTGGTCCTATGACTGGTCTTGAGTCTGGGTCTGGCCCCTCTGGTCCTCAGACTGGTCTTGAGTCTGGGTCTGGTCCCTCTGGTCCTCAGACTGGTCCTGAGTCTGGGTCTGGCCCCTCTGGTCCTCAGACTGGTCTTGAGTCTGGGTCTGACCCCTCTGGTCCTCAGACTGGTCTTGAGTCTGGGTCTGGCCCCTCTGGTCCTCAGACTGGTCTTGAGTCTGGGTCTGACCCCTCTGGTCCTATGACTGGTCCTGAGTCTGGGTCTGGTCCCTCTGGTCCTCAGACTGGTCTTGAGTCTGGGTCTGGCCCCTCTGGTCCTATGACTGGTCCTGAGTCTGGGTCTGGTCCCTCTGGTCCTCAGACTGGTCTTGAGTCTGGGTCTGGCCCCTCTGGTCCTATGACTGGTCCTGAGTCTGGGTCTGGCCCCTCTGGTCCTATGACTGGTACCTCTCTTCATCATGACTTTCTTCAGCTGTTTTCTGGCTGCTGTGACTTTGGTTGGAGATGGTTCGTCTTCATGGTTCTTTCCCTCCTGTTGCCGCGGCAACAGACCAGCAGCTCTCTGATTTGCTGATACGTGTTGAGACGGTTCACTGATGGACAGAGACCTGTTTCCTGGACACAGTCTCTCCTGGACACACAGACACACAAAGCCTCTCTCTGGACTCTCTCTCTGGTCTCTCTCTCTCTCTGGTCTCTCTGGACTCTCTCTCTCTGGTCTATCTCTGGTCTCTCTGGACTCTCTCTCTGGTCTATCTCTGGTCTCTCTCTCTAGTCTCTCTCTGTCTCTGTTCTCTCTCTGATCTCTCTCTCTGGTCTATCTCTGGTCTCTCTCTCTGGTCTCTCTCTGGTCTGTATCTGGTCTCTCTCAGGTCTCTATGGTCTCTCTCTCTGGTCTCCCTCTGGTCTCTCTCTCTGGTCTCTCTCAGGTTTCTCTCTCTGGTCTCTCTCTCTGGTCTCTCTCTCTGGTCTCTCTCTGGTGTCTCTGGTCTCTCTCTGGTCTCTCTCAGGTCTCTCTCAGGTCTCTCTCTGGTCTCCTTCTGGTCTCTCTCTGGTCTCTCTCTCTAGTCTCTCTCTGGTCTCTCTCTCTGGTCTCTCTCTCAGGTATCTCTCTCTGGTCTCTCTCTGGTCTCTCTCAGGTCTCTCTCTGGTCTCTCTCAGGTCTCTCTCTAGGTCTCTCTCTGGTCTCTCTCTGGTCTCTCTCTCTGGTCTTTTTCTGGTCTCTCTGGTCTCTTTCTGGTTTCTCTGGTCTCTCTCTAGTCTTTCTCTGGTCTCTCTCTCTGGTCTCTCTCTGGTCTTTTTCTGGTCTCTCTGGTCTCTTTCTGGTTTCTCTCTGGTCTCTCTCTGGTCTCTCTCTGGTCTCTCTCTCTGGTCTCTCTCTCTGGTCTCTCTCTGGTCTCTCTATGGTCTCTCTCTGGTCTTTCTCTGGTCTCTCTCTCTGGTCTTTTTCTGGTCTCTCTGGTCTCTTTCTGGTTTCTCTGGTCTTTCTCTGGTCTCTCTCTGGTCTCTCTCTGGTCTCTCTCTCTGGTCTCTCTCTCTGGTCTCTCTCTGGTCTCTCTATGGTCTCTCTCTGGTCTTTCTCTGGTCTCTCTCTCTGGTCTCTCTGGTCTCTCTCTCTGGTCTTTTTCTGGTCTCTCTGGTCTCTCTTTGGTTTCTCTCTGGTCTCTCTTTGGTTTCTCTCTGGTCTCTCTTTGGTTTCTCTGGTCTCTCTCTAGTCTCTCTCTGGTCTCTCTTTGGTTTCTCTCTGGTCTCTCTCTCTGGTCTCTCTCTAGTCTTTCTCTGGTCTCTCTCAGGTCTCTCTCTGGTCTCTCTCTGGTCTCTCTCTGGTCTCTCTCTGGTCTCTCTGTAGTCTCTCTCTGGTCTCTCTCTGGTCTCTCTCTCTGGTCTCTCTATGGTCTCTCTCTGGTCTCTCTCTGGTCTCTCTCTCAGGTCTCGCTCTGGTCTTTATCAGGTCTCTCTCTGGTCTCACTCTGGTCTCTCCTCTCTCTGGTCTCTCCCTCTGGTCTCTCCCTCTGGTCTCCCTCTGGTCTCTCTCTCCCCGGTCTCTCTCTGGTCTCTCTCTGGTCTTTCTCTGGTCTCTCTCTGGTCTCTCTCTGGTCTCTCTGGTCTCTCTCTCTGGTCTCTCTCTCTCTGGTCTCTCACAGGTCTATCTCACAGGTCTCTCTCTCTGGTCTCTCTCAGGTCCTTCTCAGGTCTCTCTCTGGTCTCTCTCTCTGGTCTTTCTTTGTTCTCTCTCTCTGGTCTCTCTCAGGTCTCTCTGGTCTCTCTCTGGTCTTTCTTTGTTCTCTCTCTCTGGTCTCTCTCAGGTCTCTCTGGTCTCTCTCTCTGGTCTTTCTTTGTTCTCTCTCTCTGGTCTCTCTCAGGTCTCTCTGGTCTCTCTCAGGTCCTTCTCAGGTCTCTCTCTGGTCTCTCTCTCTGGTCTTTCTTTGTTCTCTGGTCTCTCTCTGGTCTCTCTCTGGTCTCTCTCTGGTCTCTCTCTGGTCTCTCTCTGGTCTCTCTCTGGTCTCTCTCTCGTCTCTCTCTGTTCTCTCTCTCTCTCTGGTCTCTCTCTGGTCTTTCTCTGGTCTCTCTCTGGTCTCTCTCTCTGGTCTCTCTCTGGTCTCTCTCTGGTCTCTCTCTCTGGTCTCTCTCTCTGGTCTCTCTCTCTGGTCTCTCTCTGGTCTTTCTCTGGTCTCTCTCTCTGGTCTCTCTCTCTGGTCTCTCTCTCTGGTCTCTCTTATGTTTTAATCACTGTCCTGTCGCAGCATCCATCCTCTTTATAGAAACAGATCCTGGATCAGTCAGAGCAGCTCTTAAGCTTCAATAACAAATATAAAAACTGCACAGGAGGCTCATGGGAAGGGGCCAGTACCTAAGTAGCTTAGCAACGGCCTGATTTACCAATTAGCATGTGGTCATGGAGAGCAAAATGACAGAACAGTGGGTGATAAATACTATTGTCCTCTTACGTCACATTATCCATAGACACTGTCACTCCATTTGACATTTTTCAGAAGATTGTTCTTGTTGTAAACTGCACATTTTCAGAATATTGCACCAAACTGTGACAATAACTTGTTCAGTGAATTTAGGCCTCAGGCTTTGAAATCTCTGAGATGTTGTTGAGGTAAAGGGATTGGATCAACAATAAATCATGTCCTTGTGTGTGGAGTGTGGTTCTGTGATAAGTTATAATGTGTGTACCTTCAGTGTAGTGTGTCACTATCTTGGAGCATATTCAGCTCATTTTCATGTTCAACATTAACAATTTGTCACGTTTTTGTGTGAATATTGTAATGACCTCCGCGGCCGCTAGAGGGCGACATTACTCAGTGGCCCGTCTGAGAAATGGCGCCCTCTTCAGGGAACTTCTTTATACAGCCTTTAATGCTGTTTATGTATGTTGTGTTTATTAATAATATTTGACACTGAATATGAGAGTGTATATAAGAACACATCCTTTTAGAAGAAGTTATTGAATAATATGTTTGGTTCTTCATAGTATTAGTCTGTGTTTGCAGACTATCGTTCTGTGCAGCTGTAATAAATATTGGAGCTTCAATCCAGTCTCTCCCTACCTTCCTCTCCGACGTCCTGATCGACGCCCATCGTGTTTCATGTTTGAACCATAAGAATTAGCACCATACAGTCCATCCTCCGTAACACAAGCATTTAGGACAAAGTCTGCTCCTTTAATAGAGCTTTTGAGTTGGAAACAACCAAAATACACCAGGTGGGATTGAACAGAACTAAATGTAATCTAAAGTCAGATCAGTGTTAGTGTTTCCTTTGTTCTCACTGTGGGTTTGAAGAAGCAGCTTCAAGACTGAAGTCTGGTGGTCTCCCCATAGACCGGTCACTCTTCAGGGACACAGCACTGGACACTGAGGATCTGTGTGGAGAGAAAGACCATGTTACTCTGGGTCCATGGTTCAACCATCAACAGAATACAAACATTTGGACTTTGTTAAATGACTGCGATCAAACAATCCATAATCAAGTGAAATCATGATTTAAAAAGAATATTAAATCATGTGTCATTTTAGATTCAGATCAACAGAAGGACTTAAAGCAGATGGAAGCGAGTCCTGAGCTCTAACCACTGCAGTCCCTGTGTCTGAAAAGCACATTCAGAATCCTCTTTTCAAAGCAGTTCATAATAGTCCAGACTAAACCACTGACATCAGTGCATTTGTTCACACGGCTCTCGCTGACGACGAGAGGAACACGTTTCTGCTGCTTGGTTTTAGTCATTTAGAAATATATAAATGTTCAGACCTGCAAACTCAGAGTAAAGAGGCCAACGCCAAATAATGAACTGCATTCTACTGCATTTCAGAACTTTACTATTTACTTATACTTTAGTTACAGCTTCTCAGTAAAACAAACTTTGTTTATAGAATTCTAGTTGAATATAATTGTGTCCCTGAGCCACAGAAGAAGACAACACAAACAGTCCTGTTTTACTTGAAACTCCTCCTCTGCTCCTAAAGGGGACAGGTTTGCAGCTGTTTCTGTAGTGTTTGTGCTGTAGAACTGACTGGACTGAAACATGATACTCACTTTGTTCTGACGCAGACACCTGGCTCAGTGCTGCCCCCTGCTGCTTCTTCACTGATGGTTCCTGGTATCTGCTCTCTCTCTGAAGCCATGGTCACATTCACTCGGCTGGAGGAGAAACCACAGATATATTTCACTGTTTACATGTGAACTGTTTTAAAAAGGCTGTAATCATTTACATAAACTACTATAGAGACATTAGCACAGGCCTAAACTTCAGGCCAGACTTCATTTCCTGCTTCAGTCCAACACTTTGATAAAGACAACACTATGTTAAAGTCACTATGAAGAGAAACTGAGTCACTAAGAGATCCACTTGTGTAGAAACTTCTACACAAGTGGATCACAATCACAAACTATAAGATCCTAATAATAAACATTAAAGTAAAGTCAGACTCACCTGTCTCAGACACGTCTGTCTCAGTCCAAATACTTTCACTTCAGATGTGACGTCACCAGCCCCTCCCTTCTGTTTCAGAGGAAACAAGTGTCTGCCCTGTGTGTGCGTCACAGAACCAGCAGGGGGCGCAGGAGACTCATTCAAACTGAGCCTCTCTGTCGTAAGCTACATGTGATAAATGTGAAGGACACAGAGGTTTCCTGCTGTTGGTGCCACTGTGGAAGAGAACAGTTTACACATGTCTTTAAATATGTTTAATAAACCTGTATTTTACATTAGTTACTGTCACTGACAGGAACACAGCTACTGGAAAAACACTTTCTCTGTCAGACTCTGGTCTCTGATCCAGACTGATCCAGACTGATCTAAACTGATCTAAACTGATCCAACCTGTTTGATCCAGACTGATCCAGACTGCTGATCCAGACTGATCCAAACTGTCTGATCCACACTGATCTAAACTGATCCAAACTGTCTGATCCAGACTGATCTAAACTGATCCAAACTGTCTGATCCAGACTGATCTAAACTGATCTAAACTGATCCAACCTGTTTGATCCAGACTGATCTGAACTGATCTAAACTGATCCAACCTGTTTGATCCAGACTGATCCAGACTGATCCAGACTGATCCAACTGATCCAGACTGATCCACTGATCTAAACTGATCCAACCTGTTTGATCCAGACTGATCCAGACTGTCTGATCCAGACTGATCCAGACTGATCCAGACTGATCCAGACTGATCAAACTGTCTGATCCAGACTGATCCAAACTGTCTGATCCAGACTGATCTAAACTGTCTGATCCAGACTGATCTAAACTGTCTGATCCAGACTGATCTAAACTGTCTGATCCAGACTGATCCAAACTGTCTGATCCAGACTGATCCAAACTGTCTGATCCAGACTGATCCAAACTGTCTGATCCAGACTGATCTAAACTGTCTGATCCACACTGATCCAAACTGTCTGATCCAGACTGATCTAAACTGTCTGATCCAGACTGATCCAAACTGTCTGATCCAGACTGATCCAGACTGATCCAAACTGTCTGATCCAGACTGATCTAAACTGTCTGATCCAGACTGATCTAAACTGTCTGATCCAGACTGATCTAAACTGATCCAAACTGTGTGATCTAAACTGCGTGTGGCCCACTGCCCTTACACAAACAAATTAAAAATCCATGACATTATTCTACTGTTAGTATCTATACTTTTTAATTTGAATGGATAATTTCTCAGACTGTACAGAGCCATGTTTTATTATTATTATGATAATATTATATATATAAAAATATATATATAATAATCATTTATTCATTTATTGATCTTTCCTAAAGGTCCTATATAATAATATGGGTCCTTTAAACCCGGAGAGTCCCACTGAGACTTCAGAGTCTTTCAGGAGAGTCCTGGCCCCAGACAGAGGGGAACTATTCTACATGTTTTTAGTGGTGGGGGAAACCGGAGCACCTGGAAGAAACCTACGCAGACACAGGGAGAACATGCAAACTCCACTGACCATAACGGGAGACCAGGAAGGACATATATGAGACTAAAACAAGAGACCAAGAAGGAAATGTACAAGACTGACCATACAATTTATTTACAATACAATACAATACAATGTATTCTTGTATAGCCCTAGGTCACAACAGACGTCATCTCAGAGACTTAACAAAACCATTGAAATCACCAACACAGGTCAGAGAATCAACAGTTAAAACACATGAAGAATATAAAGCACACACAGAAGAAAATGTCCATACATGTTGTAGAATGCTAAAGTGTCCTGATCATCACCAATCCTTTCTGTTGGACACTAACTGTCCAACAAGACCCTCCTGCATCCACAAGGAACATGTAGCATATATGGGTTGTATGCTTTATGTTACCCACAGGCACAATACTGATCTTAGGCTAGTACCAGAAGCTAGATGCGTCTCACAAGAGAGAGAGGTGTTTAAAAAGACAGAGACAGTGGTACAGTGCAAAAATGTGAATTATATTGAGGAAAGATATATATACAAAAGACTGGGGATATATATACAAAAATATATACAATATACACAATATGTACAATGAATGTTAGAGTGTTAAGTTGAGTCCATATAACCAGCGTGTTGCTGTAATCAATCGTCTTTTAAATGGTCCACTTTGTGATGGGTGGAGGTGTTGTGTGGGTGAGCAAAAGGCTGCTGTCCTCCTACCGCACTGTGGGACAGTCTGGGTCTAGGCTTTGGGCCTGGGGCAGCTCTCCTCCTACCGCACTCTGGGACAGTCTGGGTCTAGGCTTTGGGCCTGGAGCAGCTCTCCTCCTACCGCACTGTGGGACAGTCTGGGTCTAGGCTTTGGGCCTGGGGCAGCTCTCCTCCTACCGCACTGTGGGACAGTCTGGGTCTAGGCTTTGGGCCTGGGGCAGCTCTCCTCCTACCGCACTGTGGGACAGTCTGGGTCTAGGCTTTGGGCCTGGGGCAGCTCTCCTCCTACCGCACTGTGGGACAGTCTGGGTCTAGGCTTTGGGCCTGGGGCAGTTCCTCCTACCGCACTGTGGGACAGTCTGGGTCTAGGCTTTGGGCCTGGGGCAGCTCTCCTCCTACCGCACTGTGGGACAGTCTGGGTCTAGGCTTTGGGCCTGGGGCAGCTCTCCTCCTACCGCACTGTGGGACAGTCTGGGTCTAGGCTTTGGGCCTGGGGCAGCTCTCCTCCTACCGCACTGTGGGACAGTCTGGGTCTAGGCTTTGGGCCTGGGGCAGCTCTCCTCCTACCGCACTGTGGGACAGTCTGGGTCTAGGCTTTGGGCCTGGGGCTGCTCGCCTCCTACCGCACTGTGGGACAGTCTGGGTCTAGGCTTTGGGCCTGGGGCAGCTCTCCTCCTACCGCACTGTGGGACAGTCTGGGTCTAGGCTTTGGGCCTGGGGCAGCTCTCCTCCTACCGCACTGTGGGACAGTCTGGGTCTAGGCTTTGGGCCTGGGGCAGCTCTCCTCCTACCGCACTGTGGGACAGTCTGGGTCTAGGCTTTGGGCCTGGGGCAGCTCTCCTCCTACCGCACTGTGGGACAGTCTGGGTCTAGGCTTTGGGCCTGGGGCAGCTCTCCTCCTACCGCACTGTGGGACAGTCTGGGTCTAGGCTTTGGGCCTGGGGCAGCTCTCCTCCTACCGCACTGTGGGACAGTCTGGGTCTAGGCTTTGGGCCTGGGGCAGCTCGCCTCCTACCGCACTGTGGGACAGTCTGGGTCTAGGCTTTGGGCCTGGGGCAGCTCTCCTCCTACCGCACTGTGGGACAGTCTGGGTCTAGGCTTTGGGCCTGGGGCAGCTCTCCTCCTACCGCACTGTGGGACAGTCTGGGTCTAGGCTTTGGGCCTGGGGCAGCTCTCCTCCTACCGCACTGTGGGACAGTCTGGGTCTAGGCTTTGGGCCTGGGGCAGCTCGCCTCCTACCGCACTGTGGGACAGTCTGGGTCTAGGCTTTGGGCCTGGGGCAGCTCTCCTCCTACCGCACTGTGGGACAGTCTGGGTCTAGGCTTTGGGCCTGGGGCAGCTTGCCATCGACAAGGGGACCACTGGACTGGAGGGACCAATGGAAGGAATGGATGGATGGATAGAACCTGGCCTGTTACAAACAGGACCAGCATTAGTCACATCTCATAATTCAAATAAGCAATAGGTCATTACAAAAACAAAGTCTCATATACATGTATATTAAATAATCAAGAGTACTCATCACAATGCACCATAAACAATAATGCACAAGTCACATTAGCTTATCTTGTGCACACAATCAAATATATCAATGCATTTAACATTTTGCTGAGGAGCACATTAAAATACATCAATCCACATTATCACAATCATACTACTAGGCCTAGGCGCCGACACAGAAAAACGTACATCAAAGAGAAAAGTCAGTAATGCAGCGGAGACTAGCGCTAGCTACTAGCTCCATGCAGAATCAAACAATCTGACTCACCAGTTCCTCTGTAGAACAGTGCAAACAGTGTGAAAACCGCGTCAAAGATAGTGTAGGAGGCGCCTGTAGTGAAAGCATATCAGTTACAACCCGTAGATTATGAAACGAAGTTAGATCGCGGACAATTACCTGCAGCCTGCTCGGATCCGAACTTTCCCCACAGCAACACACCCGACTGTGGACAGAGCACGTTTATTTGAGGAAATGTTGCCATGGGGACCGTGGGAACTCTCGCTCGAACTCTCGTCGGAACAACCAACTACCGCAAGATTATTTAAAAGAGACGGCCAAAAAAAAGATAAATGGAGAGGTGCAGAGAATGATAAAAATGACCCGGGTTACAAAAAACTCTTAAAAAACCCAGTGGGAAAAAGTGAGAAACCTTGGGGAGAACTAGGGATGCCCACAGGGAGGGAGACCCATTTGAGAAAGGGATCCGCTCCTCCGGACGGACAGGCTAATGATCTAGGACCTAAGCTAGCTACAGGACGTGGACCAGTGGCCGCTGAACGTGGACAGGTCCGGTGCAGGACCGAAGCACTCCCAGGCGGGTCGGGCGGGGCAGTCCGCAGGTGTAGATGGAAGAGGCCAGGCTCAGAGATCCCGTCATCGTACCATGAAACAGACAATGGGACAACGGGTGAATAGCAATGAACAAACTACAGTCAAAATCCTAATAATGCTAAACAGATAAAGTAGGAAGGAGGAGAGGATAGTGCTCAAGTTACCATACTT